ATGATTCTATGATTCTGAGATTATTGAAGAGGTTTGCAGGAAGCTCTGATTCAGTCCAGCGTTCAAGTTTACCTTCCCCGTGTTCAGAAAGATGTTTCATAAAGGTTTCTTTGGTATCTGAGTCTCTTCCGGATGTGTTCAAGGTGCTCCAAAATGAATAGCTTTGTCAGATGTAGTTTTCCAAAACATTTGATAGTTTTTGGGGTCTTTTTTAATGACTCTAGGTACATATACTGCCCCCGGTGAGACTCGGGTGGGTGTTCAGTTGAAACCAGAGGCTTTTCTTAGTCAAACAAAGGTTGACCCAGTGTTCATTGTGGATAACGTCCCTGCGTTTGGGAGGAAACCCTTGGAGAATTCAGGTTGTTGGAGCAGGAGTTGTATGAGCGAACTGTAGGTAACAGATCTGCTGCCTCCCATTTTAAGAGTGACCTTTAACTCCCCAGACTTTGCAAAATACCTCCAGCAGATCGCTGCCGTGCTGGAGGCTTGCCTCCCGGGGAGTGCCAGCGGCCTGGCGCTGCCCTGCAGATCTGCTGGGCTGGCGAAAACGCTGGGCTCTGCGCCGGGGCAGGACGTGGGTGCATCTGAGCAGAGGGCTGAGCTGCTCGCCGCCTCCCCCGGCACCCCTGCCCCAGGGAGACCTGGCTCGACTGACGCTGCTGCGCTCCGGTGGGATGAGGGAATGGCAAGGAGCTGTGCCTGCGGAGAGCAGAGCATGATCAAGAAGGCAAAAACCCCCTTTTCCCAGCGCTTTCAGTGAGAGATGGCTGCGTGGAATTGTGTATTCTCCGTGACATTGATCCTCCACAGCAAGTGCAAGAAAACGTCTTCAGTTACAGAAACCATATTCAGCTCAAGGTTCAAGGAGCTATTTTTGGGTGCTCAACAGCTTCACTGAACTTCTAATAGGTGGGCCACTGCTGGTGTCAAGATTGATTTTTGTGTTTTGGCGTAATTTACTTCTTAAATGAATTTGTGTGAAAAAAGAAGATGGAAGACGCTCCTCTGCCTCTCTTGACCATGCCAACAGCTCCTTACAACGATCAGAAGCCAGGAACCAGTGGATTATGGAAGAAGACCTTTTATTTTGAATCCAAGACAAACTATTTGCAGAATTTTATCCAGAGTATATTTTTTTCCATAGACCTAAGAGATCGACAAGGATCTTCTATGGTCGTTGGAGGTGATGGGCGATACTTTAATAAGTCTGCAGTGGAATTGATAGTCCAAATGGCTGCTGCCAATGGGGTTGGTAAACGCTAAATGACTAAATTCCTTTAGTTGTGTAGCTGATAAATGCAGAAAATCATAATAAATTAGTCACCACGAGGTTTAATTTCCCCAGACTTTATTCAACTGCTAATAGTTGACTTTTTAATGGAAAATCAGTTTGCTAGCACGGAAATTGCTGTTATTTTTTCACTTGGAAGCGATGCAGTTGGATTGAAGTATGTGGGATACACATGCAGCAAAGGAAATAAACGCTGCTGGGTTTTTGTGTGCTCTCTTTGTGTTTTGACGTGCCACAAGCTGTTGGCACCTGCGGGTTTCGTAGTCTCTCCGTCAGATCGTAAACCCCTGGTACTGTGAAGAGGTGGCAGAGCCGCGGCTGTTCGGTGGCCGCTCAGCAGAAATGCCTTCAGTTGCTCCGAGCTGCTCCGCGGATGGAAAGGCAGAGCATAGGGTTGGTGTTTCTCAAAGTCGTGGCTGTGTGATAAGTGCTCTGGGAGCCTTTGAAAATTGGAATAAGATGAGAGTTAGCAAGGGAGTGGCAGCCTTTGCAGCGATCTGTGTTTTGGGAGCAGGACAGAGGGTTGTCTGCCTGCAGCAGAGCACGGTTCGTACGCTGCAAGGCTCTGGGCACTCGGGTTTTTGAAATTTAAGAAGAAATGACTCTGTCTGTCCCGGATCTCGTAGCGTAGAGCGAAGCCTTACACTGAGGCCTGGCGCTTAGGAATCTGCTTGACGGAAAATCTTAGCTGATCACAACAGGGTAATGAGTAATGAACGGATGAGTAGGAGGAGAGATTTCATTATTATTTTTTAAAATCTACATATTTTTTGCTATGGTAAAACAAATCCTTTGGCATCACAAATGAACGTATTCCTCTTAAATTTATGTATTCCTCTTAAGTCAGTTCATAGGCTGAGCAGAAGAGCTGGGAAAAGTGCACGCAGAGCCAGGCCAGCTGCTTGACAGCGGGAGGGGTTTTCTGCTGGCAAAGATGAGGTCAGGCTGATCCCCACCAACGCTTTTCTCATGCGTTCCTTGCCAGCAGCGTGGCCTGCATCTGGCTAAAATCTGGGTTCACTCCTGGTTTTGATGTTTTTCATTGGTTGTTTTTATACAGCCTGGCTCATCTTGCTCCATCGAACAGAAGGGATGGGTCCAAGGGTGTTTTTAAATATAAAAACACGTGTATTGTGTTTTGAGTATGCAGAAAATCTCTTCTGTCAGTGTGTAGCAGCGCCAGGTACCGTCACCTCTGCAGAAGTGGGGTCAGCAGGTTTCTGAATCGCACCGAACACACTTGGTCTGCTGGTAGCATCACGTCGTATGTTTTAAATGCTGATTATTTGGCTAAAGGGGACGCCCAAGGCAGTTTCTCCACTTAACCTGAGCTGTATAAATCGAAGTGTCTCTCTTCAGAGACCGTAACTGGGCTCAGCGTGTGGGACTGGTGAGGCTGTTCTTGCGAGGCACCTCTCATCCGGAAAGAGGGCTGGGAGGGTGTGCTGGTGACATGATGGAGCTGTAGACACCAGCTTCCTTGGCCTGGAAAACAGGCTTTCGGTGTGAAGTCATCAGCCTGTGTTACTGGGGGAGGGAGGGGGGCTGTGGGCGGTCTCCTCTGTTGCCCACGTGCACCTTGGTGGGGCTTGCAGTAAAACCGAGGTGGTGGAAGTGTTCCCTGGATTGAATCGCAGTGCTGTAACCCAGAATTGCTGCACAAAGTGGGTCTGTTCGGAGCATTCTGTGAAAGGTATTTGTGCATCATTACCTCCTTAGATTCTTCTCCTAAGAAATTCTGGAGAATTAAAAAAGACTTAAGTGTAAATTGCTCAGTGCGCTGCTACGCTGAGCAACCTTTTCCAGTGGTTACCACACAGCATTTAGCATTGGATGGGTGGGGAATGGCAGCTGGAAACCTCTGAAGGCCAAGCAGGATCCCAAACCAGAGAGCAGCTTGGATGGAGACCAGAGATGGAGCTTGTATGGGGTTTGCTGCTTTTCCTTCCTCGCTGCGGGAGCAGCAATAGGTGTGCAAAAGCCACCGTTCAGGTGTGCAGGGAGGACGAGCCGGGTAAGGAGAAGGGATTTGGTGTGTTCATCCAGCTCTCTTGCAGCCGCTGCATGGTCTGGGAGAGAAGGTCCTTTGTTCTGGCAGCCCTCCTCCGCATCCCCCGAGCTGCATGCCAGGCCTGGCAGAGCACCGATGTGGAAGGGCGTTGCGGCTGGATGTGACCCTCGAAGGGAAGGTGGGAGGGAAAAGGTGAGGTTTTAGAGAGGAGCTTCCTGGAGGCGTCCTTAATTCTCGGTGAAACTAAAGGAGCAAGACACGGAGGCTGGAATAAAACACAAGACAAGGCTGAGAATGGGGAAAAAAGCAAAGCCAGTGCGGACAGGGCGACTCCAAGTGAAGCATATGGTCTGCAGGAAAGCAGTGCGATCGGCCGGGCGGGCAGGCGCCGCGCGGGCTGTAATACCGGTTACTGCGACCAGCCGAGCAGAGGGTCTAGAAACTGCTGTTTCCCGTTCATGCCGTTGAACTGCACCCCTAGCAGACCTTTAGCAGCGCCTTGCTCGCCCAGCCGGTCTGGGACAGCTGTAGCACGTAGTAACCGATCGGCAGCGAAGCCGGGGCTTAGCACCAGCCGGTGCCGCGGGAGAGGAATCGCAGTCATCCCGTGCCCTTGGCTTAGCACGGAACGTGGACCTGCGGTCTGGGAACGCTGCCTTTTGTTTTATGGTTGATCTTGTGTTTGAATGAAATTCCTCCCCTTCTCTCAGTCTGTACAGGGACTAACCTCCTTGGTTGGCGGAGGGTAGTCTGGTATTTATTTAAATCTCTGTCACCTCATTTGGGGGCTGGGGTAAGGAACATGTTCTTGCAGAAAAATACTCATTTTCTGTTTTATTACATGAACTCCAGCAACCGGATCCTCACTGCCTTGTATTGCTTAGCATGTTGGTCTGGATTTAATCTCGGTGATATCGCCAGATTTATGGGATGGAGGTGTGTTGCCCGCTGCGAGTAAGAGAATCTGCAGCTGGTTCCATGGGAGCAGTGATGATGTTCCATTTCTGTTTTGTTTTGGCTTTTCTCAACCCCACTGTGTCTTCTCAAGGCAACGTTCGAGACTCTGGCCAAAGGGGTGTTGGGATTTTTATGTTCCGGTGGTTGTTTAGGTGCCTCTGGAGAGCTCAGCTCTTCAGTGCAAGTTTCCATTTCCAGTTGGGCTGCAGCATTCATGAAGGAAAACGCTAAAAAGGCACAATGGAGCAGGGTTGGATGCTGCCCTTCGCTGCACGCAGCAGGGAGCTTCAGCAGCCTCCCAGGAACAAGCCGTTTGCTTGCAGAGAAGCAGCACCTTTTCCGGGGACTCTGGTTTACCTGGTGCCAGCATTTGTTTGGCAGTTTTGCTGGTTTAGGGACTCACAGTAGTTTGTTTTGCTCCTTAATTCTCAGATTGGCCGCCTGGTCATCGGGCAGAATGGAATTCTCTCCACCCCAGCGGTGTCCTGCATCATCAGGAAAATCAAAGCCATCGGAGGCATCATTCTGACGGCCAGCCACAACCCCGGGGGGCCCAATGGGGATTTTGGCATTAAATTCAATATTGCCAACGGAGGTGAGTCCCCTCATTTTGCTTTGCTCTGTTTAGGTTTGGCCCTTTCTAACGTTGACCCCAGGAACCGAATTTAACTGTTAATATGGCAGAGGTTCAGTGCCCTGAGCAGTGGGTTTCCCTAAGCAGAGCAGGTGATGGATCTGCTCCCCACACACCCCGACGCTCCTCTCCGAGGGAGGTGTTCCCAGCCCCAGCTCCTTTGCTCCGCTGCTGAAGTGCGCTTCTCTTGCAGTCAGATTCTTGAACGTCTCTCCCCTTGACCATTTCATTTTGCAGGTCCTGCTCCTGAAGGTATCACGGACAAAATTTTCCAAATCAGCAAGAAGATCGAAGAGTATGCCATCTGCCCAGATCTCCAGGTGGACCTGAGCACCATTGGGAAACAGCAGTTTGACTTGGAGAACAAATTTAAACCGTTTACAGGTAAACAGCTTTTCTTCCTCATGGAAAGTTTCCTTTCAGGTGGAATTAGTGTGGAACTGCCGAGCATGAGCAAGGACATTTGGTGTTTCTGAAGGACAGATGTGGCCATTCTGGAGGGGGACTTTTTCGAAGGGCAGGAAGTGACAGCACAAGGGGGAACAAGTTTAAACAGAAAGAGGGAGATTGAGATGGGACATCAGGAATGAATTCTTCCCGCAGAGGGCGGGGAGGCACTGGGACAGGTTGCCCAGAGAAGCTGTGGATGCCCCATCCCCGGAAGTGTCCAAGGCCAGGCTGGATGAGGCTTGGAGCAACCTGGTCTATGGAAGGTGTCCCTGCCCATGGCGGGGAGTGGGACGGGATGATCTTTAAGGTCCTTCCCACCTCAAACCATTCTGTGATTCTATGATTCTGGGCTCTCCTCATCCGTTGGATAAGCCAAGCAAGGACATCACTCCTTGGCATCCTGGCTTTTTAAATTTGGGTTTTTTTGTCTGCGTCTTCCCTTGGTAGATACTTTAATTATGTTGTTATTTCTGTCCTACAGAAGGTAGTACTTCAGTAGGTAAATCTGAGCCATCAAACTTCACTGAAATCAGGGGCTGTTTTGTCTCTAAGGCTACCATTAACTTGCAAAACAGACAACTCTGCAGCTGAGGTGCATGTTCCTGATTAAAAATTAGAGTGTTTCAGCTTTGGAACTGATTTTATCCCCATGGTTTCACACAGAAAAGTCCTCTCTGTGAGTGGGAGAGCCCTTATATTTCACACCTGACTTGTCGGTTAGCAGTCAAATAGGAAAATACAGAAAAAAAAGGCCTTTGAAAAACACTTAGTGCAAGTATTTTTTTTACCATCTCCTCATGAACTATGCTCGTAATTAAAAAAAGTGAAATAAAGAGATTATAAAAGTTGATATTTCTCTCAGTCCCCATTTCTGTGTGGTGGGATTTTTACGTTAAGGGGATTTTCATGGCCTGTTAGTTGGAAAGGTGCAACTTTTTCAGACTCTTAGGTGCACAGTTCCCGCTGACTTTGGAAATTGGAGATCTGTTTTTATATATATGTATTTTTCCCCCTTTTTCCTTTAATCCCACTCTCCAGCTAAGCGGAGTGGGACTGAGCCCTCTCAAAAGAAGTCCAGGGAGCTGTAGCTGGGAACAGTGTTTGTCTTAAGGATTTTGTTGGTCCGTACCCGATTAGCAGTGACAGCCTGTAATTAAATTCTTGCTGTAGGACCATTATTATTGTCTTTATGAAATGGTTCCATGGGATGTTTAAAGGCCTTGTGCTGAGCCCTGGCCCTCGGCGCTGAGGACTGTCAGCACGCTGCCACGTGCAGCAGAATGGGATTTCTGCAAAGATTTTCAACCCTTAAGCGTTGGTCTCTATTGACTTTTTGTTTTTCCAGTGGAAATTGTGGACTCTGTAGAAGCTTATGCCAATATGCTGAGGAACATCTTTGACTTCAGTGCATTAAAGGAGCTGCTTTCGGGGAAAAACCAGCTCAAGATTCGCATAGATGCTATGCACGGAGGTATGGCAGGACTTGGGTTTGGGGCGCCGGGTGTCTCCTGGGGTTTGCTACCTACTTCAGAGAGAAAGCTTTTTTCTGGAATTTATCTCCCTCACTTGCACATTTGATTTTTGTGGGTTTTTTATACATTATTTTCTTTTGTCAAACGTTTGGAGTCGGTATTTGACCTGGGCAGAGGTGTCGGTGGGGTCCGGGGGGATGCTGTGTGGCTCACACACGTCAGTCTGCACAGGAGGGAGAGGAGGTCAGCGCTGGGGCTGTGATCAGAGCTGCCCTGGTAGGCCGTACGTCGGTCCGTCTCCCGTGGGGGTCACAGCCGTTAGCGAAAGGTCTGCCCGTAGGTATTTGAGTACAGAAATGGGACCAATAGACTCTTTTGTGTCATTTAATGTATAAGCCAAGCTTGTCAGTCCCTTTAAGTAGATGTTTTTGGGAGCACCCTGGCTTTCCTAGCATCTTGTGTCTCTTGTCTGCAGACCGTTCCCGTTCCTGCCTGAGAGCAGTAAATCCCCTTGCACGGCGGGGTGGCTGTGGATCACACACGTGTTGCACGGGGCTGTCCTTACTAACGCGTCAGTGTGCAGGCCCCTCACGGTGGGGTCCTGGCTCACGCGCTGAGCCCCTGCCCTGGGCTCATCCTCACTTCTCAACCCATGAGTCGTCTCATTGTTTAATTAATATTCAATTAAAAGCTTAATTGATTGTGAATGATTAAAAGTGTATTTATTAGGACAGCCCCTCAGCTGAAAAGCTTGCTCTGGCAAGAGCCTGTGTGCCTGGATGGATCAGGCTTAAGCGCACCGGTGTGCTGCCTGGAGCTTTCGGTGTGAGCGCTTGTGCTTTTGGTACTGTAAACCGTGTGAACTGACCCAAAGTGAGCAGAGCGGAGGCCTGGGGAGTGACGTGGCTGGTGCGAGCTGTCTGAGGGCAGAGGCTGACTCCTCCTGTGTTGCCGTGATAGTTGTGGGCCCTTACGTGAAAAAGATCCTGTGTGAGGAGCTCGGAGCCCCGGCAAATTCGGCGGTGAACTGCACCCCACTAGAGGACTTCGGTGGCCACCATCCCGACCCCAACCTAACCTACGCTGCTGACCTGGTCCAGACCATGAAGACGGGAGAGTACGACTTCGGAGCCGCCTTCGATGGAGACGGGGTAAACGGGCTGTTCTGCGTTGGCCTCTTTGCCCTCGGGGCAGCTGGGAGTGACCGCTCAGCGGCTCTTAAGCAGAGGAGGATGAAGGCGAAGACCTTTGTTCTCCCTCTGCCCTCTGTGGCTGCACATAGACGTGAACCGCGCGCTGCAGCTTGCCTCCATGGCGAGAGTTGGCTGCTGTGTTAATAATGAAGTCCAAGCTGTATTTAAGTAGCTTTAAAAGCTGTGAAAAATCAGCTGGGAGGTGAAATACTACCCAGGTGCTGCTATTTAGCTTTTCAAAACTCTCTGTTTATTTCAGTGCAGGCAAAAATCTCTGCGTTGTTGGGTTTATGGGCTGCGCCTGCCAAGTAGAACAGCTTCTGCCACCGCAGCCTTTGCGCTGAGCGGGGATGAGAGCTGTTTCTCTCTTGTCTTCGCCAGGATCGCAACATGATTCTCGGGAAGCACGGCTTCTTTGTGAACCCCTCCGACTCCGTTGCCGTCATCGCCGCCAATATTTTCAGTATCCCGTACTTCCAGCAGACCGGAGTGCGTGGCTTTGCCCGGAGCATGCCCACCAGCGGGGCTCTCGATAGGTACCCTTCCCCTCTGGGCGTGGTGGGAGAGGGGAGCCCTGCCAAGGAGCGGGACCGCCCCTGTTTCTGTCTGCAGTGGGGAGAGGGGTGCAGCGGAGCCAGGGCTGCCGCGGGCCGGCTGCCGGGAGCAGGGAAGTTCAGTGGATTAAATCCTGTCTGGGGACACGGCAGAGCCGGGCTTCGCTCCTGGCGCTTTCTCTTTTCTAAGCCCAAACAAATGATCCTCCTCACCCCTTTTTTTCAAGTTGATAGTGATATTGTCTTTGTTAAATGCTTAGAGAGCTACAGGTTGCTTTAGAAGAGCCACGTGTTTGTATCTATTCCTCAGTTGCGCATCCCAGTCATTTCCCACACGTTACACTGGGATGCAATAGAGGATTGCTGTAAAAAGAATTGTTTGTTGTAAAAAAACCCCAGAAGAGTGGCATGACCTGCCTGCAGCGTTACCCCAGAAGGTGCTGGGTAGCAGCTGAAGCTCCTGCCGCATCATTGCACGTGGCAGCGCTGAGCCGGGCTGTGACGTGACTTCCCCGTTCTTACCTTTGAAGGGTGGCCCATGCTACGAAGATTGCTTTGTACGAAACTCCAACTGGCTGGAAGTTCTTTGGAAACTTGATGGATGCAAACAAACTGTCTCTGTGTGGAGAGGAAAGTTTTGGCACTGGTAAGTCAGCGTTCCTGATTTCGCCGGTGAGGGTATTATTCCTCCTCTTAGTTCTGTATTGTGCTGGGTGACTTGGGGTTTGTCTTTCACGCGTAGCTGTTAATGCTCCTGAAACAATGAAATTTTTAAAAGAGCTTGCAAGGAGCACGGCTGGAAACAAACACAACGCTACAAGTTTTGTCAGGCAAGGGCTAGTTCTCCTTTCGGTTATTTAGGAAAGCATATGGAGATATGCAGGAAGTTTAAGGGCCTCTTTACTAGCCCGGTCATTGAGTCTATGGGGATTAAGTGCAGTGTTAAATGTATTTTTCAACTCTTGGTGGCCAGGAAAACCTTCTAAATGTTTTCATTTCTGGAAAGAAATATGGTTTGGAGCATGCAGTTTTATTAGGGAAGGTTTCAGGTCACTATTAAATCTCTGAGCTTAATAGGGCCCTCATTTTCCTGTTCTAAAAACAAGGTATGATTTATAAAGTTTAAATTAACACTTGCCTTTGAACAGTCTGAGCAAGTTATTGGGTTACTGAGAAGCAAAGTGAACATCTGAAGGAATTTACTAGGGGTGCACACGTGACACAAAACTATTATTTGTGCAGGGAAGTTAAAGTGAGCGGGTTTCGCTCCGCATCGGAGCAGCGTACTCCCAACGCGCAGTGTTCCCGGGAGGCCTAGGCAGTTTCTGA